GATTAGCAGATATTTTCTTCAAGCATGGAGATTTAGATTTTTCAAATACATAAATCTAATACAAATCTGAGTGGAACCTTTTTCTATTATGATATTTCTTTGATGTTCTAACAGTGGTCAATACCTAAAGGCAACATGTAGATTTTGTTTATGAAGCATGTCACCAGTAACTTGGTTGAGGATAAACACATCTTTTAGGCCTACTGTTGTTATGAACTTTGGGTTGATGGCTCAGTAGTAGATAGATCAAATATGGGCAATTCTAAAACTAGACCTTCCACACTGAGTAGTAGGGTAATGAAGAGAAAGGTGCTTTCCAAGTTTATCATGTTGATGCAAGTTGGTGGGTTAGTTACCTTTCCAATAAAAAATCTACCGTATTTGATATGACAGTCAACACACCATCTTTAGTGTAAAAGCACTACGGATTTTGTTCAGTTAACAACCAACAACAACCCTGGCTAGTCATCACATGGAGTGGACTGGCTTTCCCCATATGCATAGTTCAAGTGTGATTATATCAAAAAACAATTTCTCCTACATATGTCACTAGATTGTATGAATAATTCCAAAATTACATCACCGGTCCTCTCATTTCTTTATATATGGCCTTAATTTTTTTTAAATGTAGATACATATTACCTTAAAGTAAAGCACTGAAGAATATACTTTGCCTCATCTATAAGCTCTAGCAAAGAAAATTGAAGAATATACCATAGCTGGCATGCGACATGGCCCTGAGGATTTTGTCTAAGCATTCTCCAAAACAGCCGCCTCAGTTGTCGTCAACAGCATGGAAACGCTGAAATCCAACAACACAGTTAACTGGCTACCAAGACGTATCACTAATTGTATGAGTGTAATAATAAGATATATTCTTCACCTGGCTGCATCTACTAAAGCTGTTCGGACGACTTTGAGAGGATCAATAATGCCAGCCTTCACCATGTCAACATACTCACCTGATTTTACAGGAAAGCTTGAATGACCAACGGATTATCAAAGTATAACATTCCAAATTCAAATAATTGGTGCAAATTATCAGCAAAATCATATGAGTGCTACACTTTAAAATATTAACCATAGAAGAGCCAAACCAAGTAGAACTTGCATCTCAAGCTCAGAATTTACTCTACTTCCCAAGTATGAATAATGTAAATGCAATAAGAGGGTCACTTTGGGTTGGGAGCTCAATGGCAACCACAACAAATGGACTCAAAGTACAAACAATGCCAAGTATAGACTTCCCTTAAATAACATGAACTTCAAGGGAATGATAGTATCATACAGTTCAAAACGCATCTGATAAAACATTCAGCTGGTATATTTTTTAAGTTGGATCAATGCAAATATTACTTGTCTAAAGGAACAAACCTTTGGCAGCGTCATAGCCTACATTGATATCTTCTTGTTCCAATAGTTTTCCAAGTACTAGTGAGCCATCTACACCAGCATTGGCAGCTATTGTAAATGTAGGTGCCTACAAAGATATATATTGAAATTTTAGTCCCCAGCTAACAACTGAAGAAGTCATGAAAAGAGATAATAGCACAAGGCAAACCTTTAAAGCATTCTGGATTATTTGGACTCCTCTCTTCTGGTCTTCATTTGATGTTTGGAGGTTCTCCAACACTTTTGAAGCATGCAACAGAGCAACACCACCACCTTTCAAGAGAAAACAAAATTACTTTCAAGATAAATATGCATATAAGTTTCAAAATGGAAGGCTTGTGGAAGAGGCATCTTAGACTAGATTGCATCCAGGATTAGTTAAAATAACCAATTCTACCTGGCAAAATACCCTCTTCAACAGCTGCCCGTGTGGCATTCAGAGCATCAGTAACCCTGTCTTTTCTTTCAGAAATTTCTGCTTCACTAGCCCCTCCAACCTGTAACGCAGCTGAGAATTGCAATAATGGACAAAATACAAATATAGTAGTCGCAGTAGTATTTTGTGTTATTTTGGAACAGAAAGACACCTTGAAAACAGCAACACCTCCAGACAATTTTGACAACCTCTCTTGTGCTTTCTCCTTGTCAAACATGGCAGTGCTCTTCTCAAATGTCATCCGAAGCTGTTTTAAAACCTTTCTTGTCAGTGATTCTCATCTAAGCAAAATTACATCAAACAATTTTGTCTGGACATTTCAAAACTCAGTATGCAAGCAATGCATGGCTATCTCATTAGTTCTTTACTCTTAAACATGCAAATTGTACAAGATGTATAGTGCCTACACAGTCATTTGGCAATCATCTTTTCGATAAAATAAGATTGTCTGTTTGATGCATAAAATTCCAGAAACTTGTTTGTTCGAAAGACAGGCCACAAATTCTCCATGACCTTATACTTCATGCATACAACAGTAACCAAATGCCTCACTTATTTAACTTCAGATTAAGTGTGTGAGTGTGTGACAAAAGACACAGATATACCAAAACACAAAATAGAGAGGTGAACCTGTTCACATCTTTCTTCAATTAGCTTTTTGTCACCACCACCATTTAGAATAATAGTGTCATCAAGAGAGACAGTGATCTGGTATAAAGAAGCTCATAAGTGTCTTGGAAGCATATATTTCAGTGCAACAATAATCTAAACACAAACCTTTTTGGCAGTGCCAAGCATTTCAAGATTGACATTTTCAAGGTTCAAA